TTATATTAATCTAAGCCTTTATTCCTTCTTTTAAATCTTGTATAATTGCTAAACTTTAATAACACTTTTTCTCTGGCGTTATCTTCTTGACCTACAGTATGTTTCAATATCAATAGTAATGATGTTTATGGAGATTCTCAGTCATCCAGGTCATGGTTTTCCCAAAGGTGCTTTTTCAAAAGGCAACTAGACTTTTTGTGTTTTTTTTCTCTTGAAGACATTTTGTGTTTTTTTTTCTCTTGAAGACATTTCACTTCTTGCCCAAGAAGCATCTTCTGAACTGAGGATGTTTCTTGAATGAGAAGCAAAACATCTTCAAGAAAAAACAAACACAGAAAGTCCAGTTGCCCTTTGAAAAAGTGCCTGTGGGACAATAATAATGATGTTATTTTTCAGTTTTTTCTGTGAAGCATTCCCTAAATTCCCTTCTTCAATATGACATACTCCACTAATACAGTGGGACTAAAATCACTAGCAATGAATCCTGTATACTATAGTGCCAACACACTGTAAGCACTTCAATTTAAAGTTTTGTCACCTCTTTCTTCAATTAAAACAAATTTAAAGTTCACGTTAATTCAGGTTAATTTCTTACCATCTCCATTCTCTTCCTCTGTTGGTTAACTCTCCCTTCTTCCATATAGTGTCTCTTAGACTTATGATTTTAGATGAGAGATTTTTTTGAATTCCTGCTTTTTCGTTTGATTCTAATTATATGCTCTGAAGCACACAAATCATTATTAATATTTATTAATAATAATAACACTGTCATGATAATTGCTTAATCAGTTATAAGTTAAGTTGATTTTATTTGCACGGACAGAATTATTTCATGTCAGATAAAGTCAGAGTAGTGAAAGCAGTTTGTAAACCGATACATAATCATGATAATTCTATTTTTAAATACCAAATGTCAAGGGATAGAAAATATTATATGACCTTTCTCTTCCAGTAGAAGCTAACTTCCACGAAAGATTATGATGAATCTTCATAAAATTTAATACTAGTCTTTGTCAGATCTTGAATTGATACTCATATAATTTCATTGCTGCAGCTCTATAGATATTTATAGAATTAAAGGGAATTGAGCGTACAAAACTTTTCAGCATACAATCTAAACTCTTAGTGAACTTAATAGGATTTGCTCCTATCATGTAGCTGGAATTCTGTATTCAGTTTCTCAACAATCATTAAACTGTCTTCTATGTAGATGCATATAGAACTGAGTTGTCAGCATATCCATTAGCTCCTACTAAAATGTTCCAAGGCTTTTTATGGTGTACTGGAACAATAAAAAGTCCAGAAGGAAGCTTAAATCCACTTGAATCAGTCCCACTGAATTTAATGGGGATTACTTCTGGACACCTATTTACATTACACTTTACCACTATTAAATTAATTTTCTTCTTCAAAATCTCCATCCCACAATTAACAGCAAGTCCAAATACCTATCCTATGAAATGGTACTAGAGGTGGCTAGTTAGCTATCTTCAATTAGATTTGTTGTTCAATTAGATTTTAAAGTTTAAAAATGTTCTTAATTCTAAGTTTTCTTTTGCTGAAACAAAGAAAGAAACAAAATGTTTTGAGAACTTGTTTGCAGGACTTTATCCACACCTTGATTAATTACTGTTACTACTTTAAAGTAGTGAATTGTATACAAAGTTTAATTATGATTTCTGCAGCATCTCTTTCCCACAAAGTTTGAAAGATATTATTATATAGACAACACTTTCAAGTCTCCATTCCTGACAGTTGACTAGGAAAATGTTACTAATCATAGAACTTTCTTCAAAATAGTCAAGAAGTTTAAACAACAAAACCTATACTTAAAACATATCTGTATACTTTTAAGGATTGGGATAATGCTTTGGGATGCTGTTTCATTGTTTCATATCTAGGACTGCATAGATCTTCCAATTGCTTCAGAAATTTGAATTTTTTTAGGAAGAGACAGCTTTTGGAACGGAATTGTCTGCACTGTTCAGAATGAAAATTTTCAAAGAGAAACCATGTGGCAATATTCATCTGGAAGGAAAAGTCATAATGTATGAATTCTCCTAAATTGTTCATCTGATAAGGCTTGCTTGTTTCAAATAACTTAAATAAGAACTTTAAAAGTTCTTATCTCTGGTTCATGTAGTCAACTCTGTAAATATGTTTCTTAGAGTAAGTAGCAAAACACTGTTATATTGGTGCATAATATATAAGTCAGCTCTTGAGAGAACTCTAATTTCTTACAGATACAAGCAGGGATTGAGATCATGGAAAAGGTTAAATAGGACTTTAAGGTCTTGCATTAGAATCCCCAATAGAAGAAGAAGAAGAAGAAGAAGAAGAAGAAGAAGAAGAAGAAGAAGAAGAAGAAGAAGAAGAAGAAGAAGAAGAAGAAGAAGAAGAAGAAGAAGAAGAAGAAGAAGAAGAAGAAGAAGAAGAAGAAGAAGAAGAAGAAGAAGAAGAAGAAGAAGAAGAAGAAGAAGAAGAAGAAGAAGAAGAAGAAGAAGAAGAAGAAGAAGAACTAAGGAAATAGATTGAACTTGAAAGCTTTAGGATTTAGTTGACACCATTTACATACTCTCACATATGCATTTATGTGAAAAGGTAAGTAAGAACTGTAAGAACCGGTAAGAAGAACTATATTCTAATTTTATGAGACCCTATGCCTGTTGACTCTGTAGGAAATATTACTGAGTACAGTGAAGCTTATATCTGCATAAGATGATTGAAATAAGAGTATACAAATATAAAAACATTTGGAATGATACTGTCAGTGTCTACTGATGTCACTATATAGGCAGCAAATGAACTTATACAGACACTCAAGGCAAAATGTTAACTATAAATGATAAAAATATTGATACACTAATAAAAAAACAAAATTTCCTGACAAATTTGACCAATGGGATGAACCTGCTTTTAATCATATGATACATTAATTATATAAGACCAATGCATAATTGCAATTTTAAGAAAATTGTTTAAAATTTGAAATGAATCCAGTTTAATTTAAATAGGCATCAGTCTCACTGAAGTCAGTTGGGTAAGTTAGCAATTAGTATCTTAAGTCCCATCAATATTAATGGGTAACAGTGACTAAATCTGAATAAAACCTAATGTCATTAAAAATCAAACAGATAATCAAGGCAATGACCTATGCTGTGCTATTTTGGATAGAGCTGGAACCATGCATAAATTGGTTTATATCAATATTGCAAACTATTTTAAATTCTGCAGGATCTTTGGGTTTTATATTCATCATCTGTAACAACTCAAAATGGCTACAGAAATCAGTAGATTCCCAAGATATTTTAATTATTGGTTCTCACCAAATTAACTATGGAACAAAAAAAAATGCCTTTATAAGACCTAAGAGATGTATAATTCCAAAATGTGTCATAGGGTAAAGGCAGTAATTGCTGCAATGATCTTTGATGTTTTTGTTCATCATAATTCTATGGAGAACAAAAAGATGTTTGCTATAATTTACTTCCAGCCTTGCTTCCTAAATTGTAAGAGTGACCTCTAGTGCTTTGCTGCTCCGTTATAGTTCCTGAAGTCCTATTTTACTATAGATTGAAGAGGCATCTACCAAATAGTGCAATTCAGTTTCAATATTCTTCTGACAAAGGGATGAAATCATGAAATGAAAAAAAAATGGAACAATGATAAATTTACAAACTGCACTTAGATACACTGCAGCAGGGAATTTACAGGGAAAACTTGTTTCGTGCACTTGAATGTCAAATTAAGTAATATGAATGAATAACACAGAGACACACAGAGAGACACATACAGAGAGAGACACACTCACAGGCAATTTACCACTGCAGAGAATGGGATTTTTTAATGATTACATTTCAGTTTTTAAAGCGTGGCATCCAGTGAAATCATCCGACTTCCACTTTCCTCCTGATTTATTTCTTCACTGTTCTTGGCAGCTTTCTTTTCAATGCTGTGACTATGTTATTTATAAATCTGTTCTACTCCCAGTTTCTCTAACTCAAGTCCCCCTTCCTTGTTTCCTTCCTTCGCCCCGTCTCCTCATCACATAAACTTCCATCAATGAACTGCAAATCTGAATACATGGACTGGAACCCCAGTTAAAATTTTTAATGCAAACTTAAGCCTTTTTATTAAGTGGGGAATTTAATTGTGGGTACAAATGCTATCATATTAGTGCTATCATACATTTGCCTATAATGTACTTTGTACATATAATTATGTCTGAGTCATGTTTGGGACCTATTTATCCCATATCTACAAGAAATACTGATTACTAAGTTAGTAACTTTCTTAAATTCAGGAGATGCACAGAGCTTTCTTTTACAAATTATTGCCTTTTCAAAAAGAAAAAAGAAAGGAGGAACACCGTTTTCACACTGCCGCTAACCTTCTACTGTCTGGTCACACATGAACATTACTCTCTCCCTAATCAATGAACATCTCATAAAATCTTGTCCTCTACATTTGCTACGCTGTTGTAGAATAGAGCGTTACTCTTCCTTCACTCAAGAAAAGCATCCTTGTTCATAAAACTGCACATTGCTAAATGCAAAACTGATGCAGCAGAGGGTACCAGCCAGCATGCCAGCAGTCTCGCAGGAAAGACTGAACTCCTTGCTAAACATTGTGCTGCTCTATAGTAAACATTTAAAAGCGCAGGTGGGGAGGGGGAGAGAATAAAACATAGGTCCAGTGGAGGGTGGGGGGTGGGAGGCAAAGAAATACAGTACAGCATGCAATTAACAGTGAAATGTGAATTCCCTAGAGGCTATCATACCCTAAACTGCTTTGATCAGAATCTGGTCAAATCAGTAAATGAAAAACACAAGGACATTTTCAGCATCTGAAATCTTTTTATCCCATCTATTTGCAGTTCCAACTGCAGCTGCCTTGATTTATTTGGAAAACTCCCTTTCTAAAGTCTAGATTTCATTACAATAAGTCCTAAGTTTGCAGAACAGCCGAGTCTAAGTTTAATATCCATTTGTAATACTCACAGAGGTCTCCAGCTGCTAGTATATTCCAAGGATGGACAGGTACCAGAAACAACAGCCTGAAGAAGATTTCAGTACAACAATCCATGGTCTAGTTGAATGAGGCACCCCAAAGTGTCAAGAGTACCAGGAGACAAACCCAGCTGCTCTGTACTTCAGTTGTGCTCCAGCTTCCTCTGTTTTCCTTTCTCCCTTCTCTCTCTGTGTGTGTTTTAGGGCTTCCCAGTAGCCAAATGGTTCAGCCAGATGCACTCTGCGTCTTCTTTTCTTACACACACACACACACACACACACACACACAGCACACAAGATCTGCTCTTTTTCTCCCAACAGCAGCAATCCCCAGAGAAGATTCTGCTGCACAGATCTCTAATTTACAGAATCACTCAGAGCTAAACTGCTAGGCTGCCCGGTACAGTTTGGTTACTGAAGCTTCCTGTTCATGATGCGTCCCGGATACCCCTTGTGGTGACAGGTAGGAAATGTGAGTCTGTGATGAAAGCCAGACAATAAAGAGAACAGCCTGCACATGTGTGCCAAGAGCAGCCTTCCTGCTGGATGGTGACTGTACTCAATTCTTTATGGTCATGCCATACAAAGGGGAAATGGAGTGAAAAAAAGGGCAGAAAGCAGAATGAAGCTGTATATTTGTTGCCATCAGAAGCTTCCTTTCCTCCATTCTGCATTTAAAGCTAACTTTCAGCAGCTACATTATTTGCAGGAAGAGAAGAGAATGTTCCTATTTTATATCAGGAATAGTTGCCATGAAGTCAAATATTTACTCTTCATACATGCATTAAATTTTGCATTCAGCTAAAGACCTTTGATCTTCAATAAATACTTTAGGAGAGTCCCTTGAGATAGCATCTTTAATGAGACACTCAATGGCTAAAGCCCTAAGAAATTGCAATCCCACAAACATGTAATGTGCTACTTTAGAAATTCATGCAAGCTCAAGCTTGACATTTATTTCTCACACTCAGAAAATAATCACAAATATAAAAGAGGAAGCTGGAATGGCTTAAACTAGAATAATGAATGATAAAATGCCAATGTGCTGAAAAGAAATGACATAGGGTTTTCTGGTTTTCATTTTAAAAGAAAGTTTTCCCAAATAAAACTTAACCATAAATATTTGATAAATACAGCACCATATAAATACCAAGTTGGTTATGAAACCCATTAATGAGGAACCATAACATCTTGCAATCAACCATCAAAAAGTGCTATTAGGTAAGGTAGGACAGGTTGATTCTCTTACTGTAAAACAACTTAACATTTAAAAAGATAGTAAAGCAGAATGATAAGGAAATAAACATTGCAGAGTTTAAATGCCTACCTTTAAATTGTGGATATGTACTCAGTAATGTTCAGAGATATCAATGAAGTCTGTTCCAGATATGTATTCTGAATCCGCAGAACAGTTTCTAAATTGGACGTTTAATAGGATAATTTCAAAGTAAATCACTTTATGACAGAGGTTTATATTATTATTTTATCAACAACAAAGGTGAAGAATATTAAGCAAGTTTCATCCATAGGTGTTCTTCAAAGGAAAGGGTTTGTGTGTGTACAGTTGTTGTTATTTAAGAACTGTTGCCAAATGGAAATATGGTATCTTTCTTTTTACAAATGTAATTTCTAAGATTTAATTGATTCTGACACGACTTCACATCTAACAACAACAACAAAGGAAGAAGAATGCAAAATGCCAGATTAACCAAAGTGAGTACCTGTGAGATATGAATCCATTTCATGTAACATCTATGTATGCAGGTGAATTATGCAGGTGAATATGTATGCAGGTGAATATGTATGCAGGTGAATTATGCCACAAAATTGATTTATGTATGTGCATGCATAATATTCATGATTGTTCAGCATTAAAAAAATTGTAATACTATGACAGTATTAGTAGACTTATCAGAATATGTGTGTGAGTGGCCAGTCCCATAAAATGCACTATTTAAAGAAAGTGTATACTGGGATCCATCCTGCTTCTCCGACTAAGGTTAAATTTGATTTATATGAATAAACATAAGAGCATATGATAACCTTGCATCAGCTGGAATGTTCTTTTAACCATTTTCCTTATAAAATGGTGGAGAACAGTAACTGAGTGGCTCCCATATGTCCCCAAAACTTATAGTTGCTATTCAAATGCCATCAATCTGCTTGTTATTATTTTAGTTTCAAAGATTCTAACAATGGTAAATGTAAATATACTACATTCAGTGCCCCATTAACTCAGCTACACAGACATTCACTGAGTAACTGACCCTGGAGCAATCATTCTGTCAGCTGAACTTACTCCAAAACTTGAGGCAAAGTTAAAGATGGAATTGGCTGTATATTCAGTGCTTGTTGGAGAGATCTGGAGAGAAGAGACTGGACAGCCATTTGTCTGAAATGGTATAGGTTTCCTGCCTGAACAGGGGGTTGGACTAGAAGACCTCCAAGGTCCCTTCCAACTTTATTATTATTATTATTAAGGAAACATCTGGTCATCAGCAAAAAAAGCAAAAATCCATTACAAGATGGATAAAGTTAATGTGTATGGAAGCATCACTGTTTTAAATCCTAAATAGGCTAGACTTCAAATTTGGCTGACTTCAACCAATAGGCTTGTTAAAGGTCATCACACTGCACAATTTCTTTAACTGGAAAAGGGCCTGCATTTCCCATTATCTTATGCAAAACATTGTTGCTACCCATTATTGTTCATCCATAACAAAGTTCCCTAATCAACATTATTAACGAATACAGAACTTTAACTGCCATTCCAAAATCCAATGTTAAATCTATTTCCTTGGAAACAAAGTTTAACCAAGAAGCAGTTGTTCTTGAACAATGGTGCCATCAGAAAGCAATGATTTCCAATTTTTCACAAGTTAGTTGTTATCCTCACTTTCACAAGAATATCCAGGGCACATTAGTTAGCTCAAATAAAAAAATAGATAAAGTTGAAATTCATGGCAAGAATTTACTAGGGAATTATATATTTTTAATATTTCACATAATTTTAGTATTATATGCATTATTATTCTGCAGAAATAGTGATTGTGAGTGACACTGTAAGCAAATATTTTTCTTGTAAAATGGCAGAGATCAATCCAAACAAATGTTTGAAAGAAAGAGATCCCAGATTTCCCTCTGGATGAACAATCAATCAATAGAATCATCTGTCTTTCTTATATAGCTGCCAGAAAGTTTTTCTTTTTAGTACAATGGGAAACATAACTGTAACTATTTTATCCATGGAATCTCAGCCATAGATATGAAAACACAGGTGTATCTAGAAACTTCCGGTCCTGCACAGTAGTGACTGGTATAGGCTTGTGGACCGCCGCACACCCACGGCCAACTTTCGTCTTACCTGGAGACCCTAATGGGTCCAAGCTGCCTCAGAAAGGTGGTGAAGAAAAAGGGTGCCCCGGAAACTCTGGAATGATGGCAGTCATTCCATTCATCTTGGGGAAACCCTTCTAACCCAACAGGAGAAAGGCTGTATTTCATCAATCAGCCCGAGCTACTTGCAACTGGAGTCCAAAAGAACTAACCAGCAGTACAGTAAACAGCGTACTTAAAACTGGGTGAGGAATCTGATTTTCCCTTTTTTATTCTACACCTAATTTCCTGAAAAAGATCCCCAAGAAACAAAATACCTCTGAAAGTGAAGGAGGGGAACTTCCACCCCATCTTTATACTAACATAAACATCTTTATACTAACAGAAGCGGCAAATTAAAATTTCTATGGAGGATCAAAATGTATGGTAGTGAAATAAATTTATAAACTTGAAAGTTAAAATTTAACTTTGGACAAGTTTAAGATTGTTGAGAATGGTTAAGAATCTCATTTTAAAGACCATTGTTCATATTGAAAACTAAATAGATGCTGACACCTAGTGGTGGATGAAGATTATGACAGCTATGATTCCATAGAGAACTTGCCAAAACCTGGGAAAAGCTAATCAGTGTTTGTGACCTTCAAAGCTTTAATAATAAAGAACAGTTGTGACAAAAAAAGACAACAATCTGAGCTGCAGACAAAGAGAGAATTATAAACTTTAGAAAAAAAATCTTTTTTAAACTCTTTGGAGTTTATATATCTATTTAACCGGGACTCTAAAGCTATTTGCAGATAAGAAGGAAAACTCCAACTTTTAGCTATCATGGATCAGAGACATGTAGACAGACTACACCAAGAAAATATAAATACCTCTCAGGAGGAGATATATAGTATACTGCAATTAATTCAAATAACACTGAGTTCAAATCACAAAGAAATTCAAAATAACTTTGAAAATACAAATCAATCTATCTCTAAGTTAACTTTACAACAAAAAATTTCCAGGAAACTACAACAGAGAAGGAGCAGACAAAACAAATAAGTGGACTTAAAATTGATAATAGAGACTCAAAGACGAATCTTAACAAACAAGAAAACATGATTTAATCCTAGTGGGAAAAAATTATAAGAAATGGAAAAAAACACTCAGCCCTTAAGACTACAAAATAAATCTGAGGACAAAAAAATTAGATTGGATAAAATGGAATGTAGAGATGTTGAAAACATCAGAGAGAGAAAGAGAAAAACATTTTCAAGAAACATGGAAAGGCAAAAGCCTCACATAAACACACTTTATTCAATTTACTTCTTATACCTACAGCAACAGTCATGAATATATGGAAAACCTTTTTCATTCAGCAAAACACATTGATTAAAAAAGATACTGGTCAAAGGAAAAAGATCAAAGTGAAAATTAAGAAAATAGATGATAGAATCTGCCAGAGAGAATATTTAAAAAAGAAACATTTGTTTGAATATAGTTAAAGAAATAGAAAAGATTCTGAATACATATGTCATTCTAAGAGAGATGAATTCCTTAAATAATACTGTATGCCTTCCCCCTCCTTTTTTATTTTATTTCTTGATATAAGTAATATAATACTGCTGAAATGGCCTAGATGAAGGAAATTTTTTAGATAATTAAATGTGTCTGAATTTAGGGAAATTATAATGTATAAAAAAGAAGAAAAATGTTTTGAATACGAGTTAAAGGATTAGATGACTAGGCACATTAAATGGAATATTTAAAGATTAAATATATATTTTAATCATGGTTAAAAGAATAAGAAATTTTGGGAATGAATACCTATTAGCTTAGGAGGAATATATTTTTTAAGTAGTATTTTACTTTTTATGTTTCTTTACTCTTGTTCTCTTTTCCTTTTCTTTACTGTTTTTACATATTCTTTAAGAAATGTAAAGGTGTTGAGATGGTTTATATGGGAAAAATGGATTAAAATCTTTAAATGTAATTAAGTATTGAGAAAATCTTAAACAGCAAGAGTACTTTGAACTTTATGG